CTGAATACAATTGTCTATGTTTAGGTTTCCTAACAAATGGACACCGCAAGGAAGTTACTATGGAAAAAAATCCTTTGAAACAAAATATTTATGTCAAGTCAAATTTAGCTCAAAACATTTTTAATTGAAACAGCTGATGAATAAGGGGATAAACAGAATCTTAACCTCACTTGGACAGATTGCTGTGATTAAATCGTTAGTTATTCCTAAACTTAATTATCTTTTTTTAACTCTACCTAATCCTCCTGGTGTTTTTCTTAAGGAACCTCACAAAATGTTATTTTATTTTGTATGGAATCAAAAACCTGACAGAATAAAGAGAGAAACAATCTGTAGACCAGTTAAGGAGGGTGGATTTGCCTGCTCTGCCCCTCTACTCTCGAACTCACTCCCTATCATCATTAAATCAGCAGTTGACTTTTATTCCTTCAAACGACTTCTCAAGACTCATCTGTTTTCACTGCATTATGACTAGCTACAAGTCCCTCATTGTATATATGTATATTATCCACCCACTTTGTTAGCGCTTTGAGCATGGGCCTTGTGCATGGAAAAGGCGCATTATAAGTTCACATTTATTATTATTATTATGATTAATATATTTGAATATGTCAAAGATTTGAAGGTGACTTGGATGAGAAAACTAGCTACTAAAGATCCTAAGTGGAAATATATTTTAAATGCTAGTTATTGTAAATGTAGTGAATTTAATAAGCATGGCAAAGAATTTTTGAAAAATACTGTCAGAAATCTAAAAAATACCTTCTGGATTGATTGTTTCTTTGCTTTTTAAGATTTTCAAGTAAAATTAAACCTGATAATTTTGAAGATTTCTTGTCTGATGATATAGTTTATAATAGCAATATTGTTATTGATAAGAAAACTATTTTTATGAAGGGTGGTTTCAAAGGGGTATCTCTCAAATTTGTGATCATGTTGATGAAAACGGCAGCTATCTGTCTCTAGTTGATTTTAATGAAAGGTATCAACTGAATGTATCTTTTTTAGAATACTATGGTGTCATTAGGTGTATAAGAAAATATTTTGCTGGCTTGGCAATTGTGAAAGAAAACACTGGACAATGTGCAGGAAATACACCAATTACACGGGTGTTACTTTCAATTGATAAGACTCAGAAGCCTATTACTATTTCCGCTGTTCTTCAAATGTGACACCAAGAGTCATAGTTAAAGTGACAAGAGGATTTTCAGTGTGGTCTTGACTAGAACTGTATTTTCCTAAAGTCGTTTAAATCAACACAAGACACAAACTGAGATGGTTCCAGTACAGGATACTCAATAGAATTTTAACTACCAATACGTTTCTTTAAAAAAAATTAAATAAAAGATTCTGACTTATGTTCATTCTGTAATGAAGAAAAGGAATCTATTTGTTACTAGTTATGGGAATGTGAATTTCTGCAAACCTTTCGGTCAAATTTTTTGTCATGGTTAACAGAAGGTTGTGACCACATCCATGATCTCAATTTCACTATAAAACTGATAATTTTTGGCTGTAAGAAAAATGTTTTTACTGGCTCTGTTTTTGACTTGTTCATATTATTGGGAAAATATTACTTGTACAAATGCAAACTCAATTCTGTTTTACCAAATATTGCTCAGTTCAGTTGAGATTGAGATATAGTATTGAAAAATGGATTTTCTTTAACAAAAGCTGTAACACCGAAATTTATTCTAAATGGCTCATATCATGGCTTACTCAAAGATGACTGAATTAATCATATTCCTAATATGTTTGATAATTAAAAATAATCTTGAATATGTGACTTGGATGAGAAAACTAGTTACTAAAGATCCCAAGTGGAAATATATTTTAAATGCTAGTTATTGTAAATGTAGTGAATTTAATAAGCATGGCAAAGAATTTTTTGAAAAAACTGTCAGAAATCTAAAAAATACCTTCTGGATTGATTGTTTCATTGCTTTTTAAGATTTTCAAGTAAAATTAAACCTGATAATTTTGAAGATTTCTTGTCTGATGATATAGTTTATAATAGCAATATTGTTATTGATAAGAAAACTATTTTGATGAAGGGTGGTTTCAAAGGGGTATCTCTCAAATTTGTGATCATGTTGATGAAAACGGCAGTTTTCTGTCTCTAGTTGATTTTAATGAAATGTATCAACTGAATGTATCTTTTTTAGAATACTATGGTGTCATTAGCTGTATAAGAAAATATTTTGCTGGCTTGTCAATTGGGAAAGAAAACACTGGACAATGTGCAGGAAATACACCAATTCAATTGATAAGACTCAGAAGCCTATTACTATGTCCGCTGTTCTTCAAATATGACACCAAGAGCACAGTTAAAGTGACAAGAGGATTTTCAGTGTGGTCTTGACTGGAACTGTATTTTCCTAAAGTCGTTTAAATCAACACAAGACACAAACTGAGATGGTTCCAGTACAGGATACTCAATAGAATTTTAACTACCAATACGTTTCTTTAAAAAAATTAAATAAAAGATTCTGACTTATGTTCATTCTGTAATGAAGAAAAGGAGTCTATTTGTTACTAGTTATGGGAATGTGAATTTCTGCAAACCTTTCGGTCAAATTTTTTGTCATGGTTAACAGAAGGTTGTGACCACATCCATGATCTCAATTTCACTATAAAACTGATAATTTTTGGCTGTAAGAAAAATGTTTTTACTGGCTCTGTTTTTGACTTGTTCATATTATTGGGAAAATATTACTTGTACAAATGCAAACTCAATTCTGTTTTACCAAATATTGCTCAGTTCAGTTGAGATTGAGATATAGTATTGAAAAATGGATTTTCTTTAACAAAACCTGTAACACCGAAATTTATTCTAAATGGCTCATATCATGGCTTACTCAAAGATGACTGAATTAATCATATTCCTAATATGTTTGATAATTAAAAATAATCTTGTATTTGTGAGAATGGTGAGTGAATGGATTGTCTTGTTTCGTAAAAATTTCCACCTGTATCCCATTAAATTACTGACTGAGCTGACCCCTTACTGCTTAGTTTTGACTGTTACAGAAATAAAATTTGAATTACAAAAAAACATGCATATATTTATGTTATATTATAATGGCAACAAGCCGGAAACCAAGGGTGTAGATTTTAATTAACCCAAACATAAACCAGTAGGAAACTATACGATTACGTTTGCAGAAAGCAGAAACAAAATACATTTTCAACTTATGTTAATACAGCTGCTCTAAAGCAGAGGCCCACATTACATAACAGTAAGAGGTAAATTGGTGGTTGGTCTCAAATAATATTGTTACGACCTTATAATATTTCACTGTATTTGTCTGTATTTTAGTAGGGACCTTAATTAGGACAAACTTATCTGGGGTTTGATCTTGTGACCTTGAAGCATATAAAATGTGAATGCCCCCCACCCCACACCCCCTAAATCTTTGTTCAAAGTATGTCACAATACGAGATGAATAAGGCAAAGGCAGAAATTATATATACTTTGATATACTTATAATGGAAACAAAACCATATCCCCAAAATCAACCCCCAAATCACCCCCAAATCACCCGCATTCATCACCAAACATAATAGCACACAATCACTCCTATACATACACTTTACACAAAAAACCTCAAACCCAATAGAACAATACATTTGTATAATACAACTATTTTACATTGTACAGAGCGTACACCACGTGTATCGAACACGGAATGGGACTGAATGTTCTCTGATGACAAAGTTCAATCATAACTCTTGTCACATAGCATAAGGTCATGACCTTATCTCTCTCACGGTCAGCCATCCTGACGATGTTTTCGCTGGTCAGTCACATGAGGAGGCAACACAGACGCCACCTTTTACAGGTCGAGGCCATCATACTGATCTGCCTCTTACACACAAGGCGAGGTTACCACACAGATATACTGCCTTTTATACGGTCCGGCACAGGTCCCGGGCACTATACAAATATCAAAATAACATTTGATATACTTATCATTCGATGTACACCGAGTTTTACGAACTCAGAATGATAACATACATCATTCAACGACATTACAGAGACATTACATACTCAGAATGATATTATACTTTACAGGATCATTACATTTCACTTAGAACAACTGTTACGTTATTCAACATACAGGCAAGTGACTATGCTGATAAAACATCTGAGGTAAGAGTTCCTCCCGTTCCCCCATCCCAAATATTATTTATAAATATATTAACAAAACTTAACCCAACAATTACTAGAGAACTCACAAAATGACTAAAAGTCCAAAATTTAAGTTAGGGTTGGATCTGATTACAGCATGGTTTCACAATGTAACACATATGACTGACAGCAAATAGGTTACTTGCAACTCAATCGTGAGAATTGACATTTTAGTATATTTATTGCTACAACATTTGATGATTGACAAAATGATAACATAATCATCATTTAACAAATACCCATATTTACATAGCTCTGCAATAATAATTACAAAGCAACATGATAAACATAAATATCCAATAAAACAAATTCTACTCACGCCATGAAATCAGACCAGCAACCTTGCAAATACAGCCAACCTCATCAGACAACTTTCATGACTGCACTCACCAACCCTTGCACTCTGCCTAATATAATCAAAACTCACACCTCGCATGCTTTTCTTGCCACACTAGCCTCTTCATACCACCTTGCATGCTTTCTACCTATTCCCACCACACTGTAACACACGTCATACAGTTAAACTAAATTACCATTTGATCTCGACAAAGTAAGTGACCCCCCTGCATGTCATGTATAAAATCACCCCACCCCACCCCCAACAACCATATTTTTTTAAGCCATAAATTATGAACGGTACCTAAAAGGTATGCACCGTCCATTGTGATCACCATTCGCGGTGATTTGGTTTATGACGGTCGCTCACCTGTTCATGAAGACCTGGTGTCATCATCGTTTCATAGACAGATAATAAATGTTGGTTATATAACTGGCTTAGTCTGGGTTGGTTATCATACCTTGGGTTTGCCCCTACTTGATGACAGACCACGTATTAGGATGGCTTCAGGAAAACAGTGTTACCGGGTACAATTCGATCAGAGGTGAGTGTGATGTTTATTCAGTAGTGTATGAGATTCAGTACTTTCTCATAATACCACATACATCACTTTGACCATGTAATTGTATTTTGTATGTAAAATACCATGCCAATAATCAAGACCCTATACCTTTTCATTCGTAAACACTGAGTGTGGAAAGTTCGATCCATCGACTGCTAACACATCACTGAATTCACTGAATATTCAATACGTTCGATATCAGAAACATCCTCACTATCTACTACTCTGTCATGAACACTTTAACATCCGTCATAAACATGAACAGGCCCTCTCGTGTCAATACCACCACCGATCGACTGTTTGTCTCTATCGGTCAGTCTCTCTCTGGGGGCAGGTTCATGAGAATCTCCATCTAAAAGATCTTATAGCTATTAGGTCTAGTTCGTGTTTCCCTTCAGTACTCTTCATTCCTTCTGGCTTCCACTTGTGCATTACTAAACCTCGATTCCCTCTTTTCTTGATTTCTTATCTTACCACTATGTTGTTGTCCCTTGTACATATGTAGCTATCTGCTTCTTGGCTTTCGTAACCTAGGGTGAAAGAATAAAAAACATACTCCAACCGGCGTGTTCCTCGTGTCACAGGACTGCCTGGCATTCCTTGTAACCACGCTGTCGCACCAACAGTAATAGTCTGTCATACAGACCCTGAAAAAAACATACCCAATGTAGCCCATGCAAGTCTAGAATGTGAGGCAAGTCTAGATTACCACAGTTTCAGGAATGAAGAAAGTCTTTTTATTGTATTTTATTTTTATTTAAAATTTTTTTTTCTGTAAAATATGTTCATTTCAGAGGCTAGCTGGTTGGGTACAACAGTAAAAGTGCGGTATTTTCTCACAAAACCTGTCATAAGACAGACAACTGCATTGACAACCGTTAGAAGAAAAACATAAACGTATGTGTATGTATGTCTTCGAGATATATCGGTAACTAACAGTGCAGTCAAATGTTTTAAAGTCTACCTTGTTTCACGAAACCAAACAGCAATTCTGAAATACGTTTGTTTTGGCCACAACCATGAGCAAAACTGAATCACGTCTGTTATAGCCACAACCATGAGCAAAACTGAATCTCGTCTGTTATAGCCACAACCATGAGCAAAACTGAATCACGTCTGTTATAGCCACAACCATGAGCAAAACTGAATCACGTCTGTTATAGCCACAACCATGAGCAAAACTGAATCACGTCTGTTATAAATCCACAACCATGAGCAAAACTGAATCACGTCTGTTATAGCCACAACCATGGCAAAACTGAATCACGTCTGTTATAGCCACAACCATGGGCAAAACTGAATCACGTTTGTTATAGCCACAACCATGGGCAAAACTGAATCACGTCTGTTATAGCCACAACCATGAGCAAAACTGAATCACGTCTGTTATAGCCACAACCATGAGCAAAACTGAATCTCGTCTGTTATAGCCACAACCATGAGCAAAACTGAATCACGTCTGTTATAGCCACAACCATGAGCAAAACTGAATCACGTCTGTTATAGCCACAACCATGAGCAAAACTGAATCACGTCTGTTATAGCCACAACCATGGGCAAAACTGAATCACGTTTGTTATAGCCACAACCATGGGCAAAACTGAATCACGTCTGTTATAGCCACAACCATGAGCAAAACTGAATCACGTCTGTTATAGCCACAACCATGAGCAAAACTGAATCACGTCTGTTATAGCCACAACCATGAGCAAAACTGAATCACGTCTGTTATAGCCACAACCATGAGCAAAACTCAATCACGTCTGTTATAGCCACAACCATGGGCAAAACTGAATCACGTCTGTTATAGCCACAACCATGAGCAAAACTGAATCACGTCTGTTATAGCCACAACCATGAGCAAAACTGAATCCCGTCTGTTATAGCCACAACCATGAGCAAAACTGAATCACGTCTGTTATAGCCACAACCATGAGCAAAACTGAATCACGTCTATTATAGCCACAACCATGGGCAAAACTGAATCACGTCTGTTATAGCCACAACCATGAGCAAAACTGAATCACGTCTGTTATAGCCACAACCATGAGCAAAACTGAATCACGTCTGTTATAGCCACAACCATGAGCAAAACTGAATCTCGTCTGTTATAGCCACAACCATGGGCAAAACTGAATCACGTCTGTTATAGCCACAACCATGGGCAATCATACTGCAATCAAACAAAGCGACTGTTCAAGTTCTTCCTCTGTCATGTCCTCCGTAACCATAGCAGGTTAATCTGTCTATGGATGGTTATTAAAAACGTGTTGCAACACTGCGTTTACATCATTGATATGTTTCAATGGGTACTATATATATTATGATGGTTAAACCCTGCTACTACAGAAAGATGAAGTTTATCAAGAAAATCCGCCTGAATATTAAAGAATGAAATGTATTTTACACTACTTCTTGTTCATTAATTCGTATATATATAATATGATATAGTGGGGAAATGATCGGCCAGATATATATTTGGGTGGGGTTTTGTCCGGGTTGGGGAAATGGTAAGTGGGGAATAGACTTGGTGGGGAAATGACCGTAAACTACATAGCACTCATTCTTTGGTATTCTATAATGAAGAATGAAGTTCTTTTAAAGAAAATGTGTTCTAAAATTCGGTGTGCAGTTAAAGTTTCAGTTTCAGAGTTCTTTGATTCATTAAGTGGTGTTCGTCAAGGGTGTATTATTAATACATTGTTATTTTCCATGTTTATGTTAGAACTTCAGAGCATGATAGAATCTTCTACTCCAAGAGGTGTATCAGTCGGCCAAGAATTTATAGAAATAATGTTATTATTACATGCGGATGATTTGTGTTTAGTCGATGATAGTGTCATTGGTTTGCAGCGGAAGATAGATATTCTTGATAGTTTCTGCAAAAAGTGGGGTCTTCAGGTTAATTTAGATAAAAAGAAGTCATGGTCTTTAGAAATGGTGGTATATTAAGACATTATGCAAAATGGTTCTTTAGCGGCCCTCAGCTAAAGGTTACTACTTAAAATTATTTGGGTATTTTGTTCTCAAATAGATTGTCTTGGTCAAAGTGTGTAGATACGTTAGCTATTAAAAGGTAATAAGGGTCTAATTTTCATCAAAAGGGTATGTATTAAGTTCCCGCGATTGCCAGCTAATATTTCATTCAATTGTTTGACATTAAAACTAAACCTGTGTTATTGTATGGAGCCGAGCTCAGGGGATTTCAGAGATATCCAGTGCTAGAATCATTTTATACTAATTTCTGTAAGGTTGTGCTAGTGGTTAGCAAATATGCTTCTAATAATGCTGTTTTGGCGGAGTGTGGTAGATATCAATTGTATGTAGATTATCATGTTAAATGTGTTACGTTTTGGTGCCATTATTTAAGGATGGATAATAGTAGGTAACCCCGGCAGAGTTATCTTTTAATGAAACAACACGATGAATCTGGCAGAACAACATGCACAAGTGGTGTAAGGCAATTACTCTTCATTTTCGGATTTGGTGATGCATGGCTGTTTCAGGATATTGGTTATGTGGATATGTTTATAATGTTATTTTAGTAACGATACATGAATAGAATATGCAGGAAATGTTTGACAACAGAAGTACATCTGATAGGTTAAAATATTATCTCCATTTATAATCGTGTATTGATACGGAAAATTATATCATGAATATTAGAAACTGGGAGTTTAGGAGATATTTATGTTAGCTTAGATTAGACGAGTTACCTATTCAAACAACTATTGGGGGTAGGCCAAGTACCAGAACACTGACTCTTGTCTCCAGCAGCTGAAGCTCCGACTGGCTAATGGTGACCTCCCCCTCATGCAATTTACTGATGCGGTATCTCATTTAATAAAGTTAAGTGTAAAGTAAAGTGTCCATGATTAGTCCGGTGCAGATCCAGTATTTTTGTTATCATGTCAATTTTGTACATTAAGGGAATTGATACTGTTTAAATATTCTAATTCCATTAGTGCTTTGCTGTTCACAAATGACAAATGCTAATTTCGCTCAAATTTGTACATGGGGTGTATTGATAATTGTAATTTTATAATTCCTTTTACAGTTTAGTGTTTTACTGTTCAAAACTGACTAAATGCTGAATTCGCTTTTTTGTCGCTCCCGTTTTCTGTATAACCCACGTGACTAACAACATTTTAATCCCATTGTAACCAGTCAGTGGTGCGTGGAGTCTGTCGGCTCCTCCCTTGCCATGTTGTTTTGACACGCCTTAGAAGGCCGACGTTTCGGTATGACATAACATTATTTTGTCCCACGGTCACACAGTACAAGGTCAGCCACCGGTGAAAATGAGGTGAGCCAGGTGTTTAATTAGATCAACAAACTGGCCGACTTTCGGACTATTTACCCCCCTTTACAAGAGGGATGATAAGAAATAAAGTGTCCTTATATGCCACCCTTGCTTACGTATGTTTTAATGTTTTCGTAGTAGCTTACTTTCTATATGCGGAAAGGTATTTGTTGTTTGCGATGGGATAAAAGAAATGACATTACCCTACAACATAAAGTTATGCTGTTGAATAAACAGTTCCATATCGACCAGTGGACAAGGAAGGGTGAGGGAACATAAAACTAACACAGACGGGACATCATACGACTAATATTTTGCAAACAAGTGGTTGTATGGCGAGAACACTCTACTTATGACCAGCAATTCCATAAACACATGCTCGGTCATCGTCCTATCGCATAGTGCCAATCACTGCCTTGTCTGGTCCAGACTAGATTTGTTTACAGACAACATCGTACAGCTGTAATACTGCTGAAACAAATATATACTCATGACAGTCACAATTGTACAATTGACTCTGCTATAAGTATAGATGTCTTCTGGATGTGGAACGGCTTTTTGCTTCTATTCACCGGAACGTGTACCTCGCGTACGACCATATCACGCATCAGTCGACTGTCGATACAGCTGATAAGATATTGATATTTGCTTTCCAAGAATTAAAAGTTAGATATAGTTCTAATCTTACTAACTGTGAGCAAAAGCAAAGTGAAAGTAAGCCACTGTTTGCTTACAGTTCTCAGAAAGGGCGGAGCTGAATTGTTACGTGTTCAGTTGAAGCTGAAAAACTGACCGGGAACCAGTCCGTAAGGAATGCATAGGAAATACTGTATGGTCATGTATTTACTGGGGTATCTGTTTTGCAATTCATGTTTGGAAATATCTGACAATCCGGTCAGGGCATGCATGAACGAGGTACTTGTGCATACGAAAATGTACAGATGAGCATGTTTCAAAGGTATAGATTTGTATGAAATATATGCCCAAAGTTAGGAAATATCTGGGAACATACGTAAATCCGGTCATAGCACGTATTTCCTGCTGTATTTACGTATATTTCAGTGGTGTACTATCCGGCTTTTGGTCCTGTGATGTGTGTGTGCTTGCGTGCGTCCGTTCGTGTGTGTATCTTTAAGCTGAATACAATTGTCTATGTTTAGGTTTCCTAACAAATGGACACCGCAAGGAAGTTACTATGGAAAAAAATCCTTTGAAACAAAATATTTATGTCAAGTCAAGTTTAGCTCAAAACATTTTTAATTAAAACAGCTGATGAATGAGTGGATAAACAGAATCTTAACCTCACTTGGACAGATTGCTGTGATCAAATCGTTAGTTATTCCTAAACTTAATTATCTTTTTTTAACTCTACCTAATCCTCCTGGTGTTTTTCTTAAGGAACCTCACAAAATGTTATTTTATTGTGTATGGAGTCAAAAACCTGACAGAATAAAGAGAGAAACAATCTGTAGACCAGTTAAGGAGGGTGGATTTGCCAGCTCTGCCCCTCTACTCGCGAACTCCCTCCCTATCATCATTAAATCAGCAGTTGACTTTAATTCCTTCAAACGACTTCTCAAGACTCATCTGTTATCACTGCATTATGACTAGCTACAAGTCCCTCATTGTATATATGTATATTATCCACCCACTTTGTTAGCGCTTTGAGCATGGGCCTTGTGCATGGAAAAGGCGCATTATAAGTTCACATTTATTATTATGTTTTACAGATTAAAGATAGTATGCAGCAGAGAGGGCTCGGGTGATCCTGGCACAGTCAGGCTGGTAAGGCTCATCATCAGCTCAGGGCCCTTGTCCATTCTACACGCAGCCCAGACAGCGAATGGGACTTCTCCCAGGAAACGCTGCCTAGTCGAACCCACCAAGAACTTTCCGGAGAATATGAAGGCCCCCAAACACTGCAGCCTTCTGCATTACCTAGACTGTCAGAAGGGCTGTACTCCCGGTGGAGATCCCGGGCACTCTCCTGATCTGCGCCAAGAGATCAGGAGGTACCAAGCCAAAGGCACCGAGAACAATGGGGAGCCTGGCGACAGTGTACTTGGGATGCCAGCGAGACATTTCAAAGTCGAGGTCCGCATATTTATTATGCTTTTCCTGAATCTTGCCAATCACATTGCTGTCAAAAGGGACAGAAAATTCAATGATATAAATAAATTCATTGGCTTTATCAAAAAGGACAAGATCAGGTTTGTTGGCTGGAATTCTTCTGAGGATGTATATGGGCCTATTCCACAGACGTTTGAACGCATCATTTTCCATGACGCCCTCGACATGTTCAGGGTCGTACCATGGATGGACCTCGGAGTCCAAGCCGAAGACATGGCGGAGACGGTAGTAAAAGCAACGAGCCATGCCATCAGGTCGTTTAAGATATGCTGTTTGTGCCAAGGAAGGGCATCCACTGACAAGGTGTTGGACAGTCTCACTGAATTCATTGCAAAGTCGACATTTCATATTGATATTTTCTTTAAGAATCGCATTTTGGCGATTGCGAGTAGGAAGTGACTGGTCCTGAGCAGCAAAAAGGAAGCCCTCAGTTTCACATTTAAGACCAGCCGACTTCATGCAGGCGAAGGAGTCGGTGGGATTGCTATTCTGTTCAACACACTGCATGTACACACGATGCAATGGCTTCTCAGAAAGCTTCTCCACAAAAGACCGACTCTGGGCAGACTTGGTGAAGGACTTCACCTGGTTTACTCCCATCACTGTACCGTCCAGCAGTACATCGCCATCAACAAAATCAACCTCAAATCTCAGATTCTGTCCAACAACCTTGACACGCTAAAAATAGCTGTGGAATTCCTTGCTTTCATCATGAGTCTTCACATGCACCACTAGAGGATCATCCGATAAATAAATATGTGCAAAAGTACACAATAGAATTCTATCATGAAGAGCCTCCACATTAATCAAACCCGGACCTCCAGAATTGATTGGCATGTATAAATGGTTAAGAGAGGAACGAGGGTGGTGGGCTCTGTTATCAGACATGATCCTTCTGGTCAGACGGTCAAGACTCTAGATGTCTTGTTTTGTCCAATCAACTACTCCAAAGGAATAGGAAAGGACTGGCACAGCAAAATTATTGGTGGCTTTGACCTTGTTTCGAGCATTTAGCTCTGAGCTCCAGATTTTCTTTAAACGAGATTTGTACTCGGCCCGAAGTTTGTCTTGAATCTGGGCATTCTGGAGCTTGTCTCGAACTTGCATTCCAAGATAGGTGTAGGCCTGATCTTCCACAAGATGCTCAATAACTCCTCCCCCTTGTAACTTGACCGATCCATCATTAGTTACCTTGCCACGTTTCAAATGAAGAGTATTACATTTGTCGAGTCCAAATGTCATGCCAATATCATTAGAAAAGGACTCGACAAGGAGAACCTGCTCTTTCACATTGGAATCTCCTTTGGCAAGGAGCTCGATGTCATCCATGTAAAGGAGATGAGTAAGAGGTGTTGGGTATCTGTGCTGAGGAGGTCCGGGATGGTAACCCTCCTCTTTATTGAGCAGAAAGCTCAAAGGATTTAAAGACAGACGAAAAAGCAAAGGACTAAAGGAATCCCCCTGAAATATTCCCCTTCTGATTGGAATAGATTCCGAAGTCTGCACCTGCCCTTGCGAGTACATCTCAAGTTGAGTCGACCAGCAACTCATTAAAGACTTGAGTAAATCAAGTAGTCGCTCAGGGAGGTCAATACAATGAAGAGACTTCAGAATCCATTCGTGAGGGACAGAGTCGTATGATTTTTTGTAGTCAATCCAGCACATGGAGAGGTTGCGGTGATATGTTTTAACCTCTTCCAAAATCATTTTCTGTACAAGAAGTTGATCCTTGCACCCCCAACATCCCTTTCTTGCTCCCTTCTGCTCTCTGTAAATTATATCATTGGAAGAGCAGTAAGATGACACGAGGTTTGTCAAACACCCTGTGAATATTTTGTATTGTGTATTCAAACGTGATAGGGTGGAAGTTTTTGGGATCAGTCAAGTCTCCTTTCTTGGGGAGAAGTATTGTGCGACCTTTGCAGAACCATGGAGGAACATCACCTGTGTCCACGAGAGTATTGAAACAGTGTAGTAATGGTGTTTGGACACAGGGGAACAGTTTCCAATACCGGTTTCGAATGCCATCAGGCCCTGGAGCTGTATTAGATTTGGACTTTTTGATGACACTTTTCAGGCAATATGGTGAGATGTAACAGACAAACGACCTATTTACTTTCTCATGCATTGCATGGTCATAATCACGGACCCATGGTGCCTCCAGGTTACAGTCGCCGGGTATAGACCACAACTGTTTCCAGAACCTTTCATTGGCATCCATGGAAGGTCGTTTATCATGCTCACCATCACTGCTTGTTTTCAGTTGCCTGTAGAAGTGTTTTTCATTATTTCTAAAAAGTTTATTTTGTTTGATGAATTTATTTTTATTTTCCCATTTTTTCTTTCTTTCAGTCCAAACTTTTATTTTGGCCTTAAGGGAATCGACAATTTGGAGAAGTACCTTTTCTTTTGTTGTCTTGTATTGTAATTTTAATTTTCTCCAAATTGTCTTTTGCCGTTTTGACATTGGACTCCCTGGTGATCTTAGTTTCAGGCACAGCTCTATCCAGGAAATGTATTTTCTAGTTTCCGTTAGTTTTACTTGAAACCGGTTTTTCTTTGGTGTATTGTTCTTAGTGTTTGATATTTTTTCCTTGGAAACTGTGAATTTCCTCCAAGGTTCGAGCGGCAGAATAGACACAACAATTAACTTCATGTAATGAACAGTCCGCAGAAAGTTTCATAGAAATAATGTCATTTAATAAATTAATTTTATGTTTGGGAAAAGATACATTTGTTTGTTGAATTGGCCTCCGTTTTTCTAAAGGTATGTCACATATTTCAGCATTAATAGACTGAAACAAAATATACACAGGATTTTCGGAAAGATCTGCAACTGAGGAAAAGGAAGAGTGAGCATCCGAAATTTCGGGGCCAATTGGCTCTATGCCGGAAGAGTTTCCATCAGCAAGAGGAAAGAGGTTGACACGGACGTCCATTAGAAGTTTTAGGTCTGCTGCCACTTGAGCAAAGGTTCCTGACGGGCACCAGTTGTGGGTTGAACTGGCTCACGGGGCATGATATTTTTAAGCCGCCGGAATTGATCTCGGAGATTTTGCTCCATCAGGTAAGCATACATGGGCATGGCATTGTCCCAATGCAGCTTCAGCGACTTGCCATTGAATACGTGGATTTTCAGGCCATCCTGTCGCTCTCGCACACTCAAGTAGTGTGGTTTTAAGGTGGTTTGACCAAGATATTCTTGGTCGGGTTGTGTGCCTTCCCCCTTGGGCAAGTCTCATCTCCAGTGTGGTTGGTGTCACTACCGGAGGAAGGCTGACTGGGCTGCGGAGTTAAAAGATGGTTTGCTCCTTGTTTGTCGGTAACCCAGTGAAAAACCAGCTTCGGGGGGTCAGCCCTAACTGGGTGATGTACGTTTAGTTCAGGGAATATAATTCCCTTACCTAGGCCCACCACGGAGAGGCGTACATCATCAGGCCCTTATTATTAATATTATTATTATTATTTTACAGATTAAAGATAGTATGCAGCAGAGAGGGTTCGGTTGATCCTGGCACAGTCAGGCTGGTAAGGCTCATCATCAGCTCAGGGCCCTTGCCCCCCTCTACACGCAGCCCAGACAGCGAATGGGACTTCTCCCAGGAAACGCTGCCTAGTCGAACCCACCAAGAACTTTCCGGAGAATATGAAGGCTCCCAAACACTGCAGCCTTCTGCATTACCCAGAGTGTCAGAAGGCCTGTACTCCCGCTGGAGAACCCGGGCACTCTCCTGATCTGCGCCAAGAGATCAGGAGGTACCAAGCCAAGGGCACCGAGAACAATGGGGAGCCTGGCGACAGTGTACTTGGAATGCCAGCGAGACATTTCAAAGGCGAGGTCCGCATATTTATCATGCTTTACTTAATCTTGCCAATCACATTGCTGTCAAAAGGGACAGAAAATTCAATGATATAAATAAATTCATTGGCTTTATCAAAAGGACAACATCAGGTTTGTTGGCTGGAATTCTTCTGAGGATGTATATGGGCCTATTCCACAGACGTTTGAACGCATCATTTTCCATGACGCCCTCGACATGTTCAGGGTCGTACCATGGATGGACCTCGGAGTCCAAGCCACAGGCATGTCGGAGACGGTAGTAAAAGCAACGAGCAATGCCATTATGTCGTTTAAGATATGCTGTTTGTGCCAAGGAAGGGCATCCACTGACAAGGTGTTGGACAGTCTCACTGAATTCATTGCAAAGTCGACATTTCATATTGATATTTTCTTTAAGAATCACATTAAGGCGATTGCGAGTAGGAAGTGACTGGTCCTGAGCAGCAAAAAGGAAGCCCTCAGTCTCACATTTAAGACCAGCCGACTTCATGCAGGCGAAGCTTAAGGAGTCGGTGGGATTGCTATTCTGTTCAACACACTGCATGTACACACGATGCAATGGCTTCTCAGAAAGCTTCTCCACAAAAGACCGACTCTGGGCAGACTTGGTGAAGGACTTCACCTATTATTATTATTATTATTATGGGGTATGATTAATATATTTGAATATGTCAAAGATTTGAAGGTGACTTGGATGAGAAAACTAGTTACTAAAGATCCCAAGTGGAAATATATTTTAAATGCTAGTTATTGTAAATGTAGTGAATTTAATAAGCATGGCAAAGAATTGTTGAAAAAATACTGTCAGAAATCTGAAAAATACCTTCTGGATTGATTGTTTCATTGCTTTTTAAGATTTTTCAAAATTAAACCTGATAATCTTGAAGATTTCTTGTCTGATGATATAGTTTATAATAGCAATATTGTTATTGATAAGAAAACTATTTTTATGAAGGGTGGTTTCAAAGGGGTATCTCTCAGATTTGTGATCATGTTGATGAAAACGGCAGTTATCTGTCTCTAGTTGATTTTAATGAAAGGTATCAACTGAATGTATCTTTTTTAGAATACTATGGTGTCATTAGCTGTATAAGAAAATATTTTGCTGGCTTGTCAATTGTGAAAGAAAACACTGGACAATGTGCAGGAAATACACCAATTACGCGTTTGTTACTTTCAATTGATAAGACTCAGAAGCCTATTACTATGTCCGCTGTTCTTCAAATATGACACCAAGAGTCACAGTTAAAGTGACAAGAGGATTTTCAGTGTGGTCTTGACTAGAACTGTATTTTCCTAAAGTCGTTTAAATCAACACAAGACACAAACTGAGATGGTTCCTGTACAGGATACTCAATAGAATTTTAACTACCAATAAGTTTCTTAAAAAAAAAAGATTCTGACTTATGTTCATTCTGTAATGAAGAAAAGGAATCTATTTGTCACTAGTTATGGGAATGTGAATTTGTGCAAACCTTTTGGTCAATTTTTTGTCATGGTGAACAGAAGGTTGTGACCACATCCATAATCTCAACATCACTATAAAACTGATAATTTTTGGCTGTAAGAAAGATGTTTTTACTTGCTCTGTTTTTGACTTGTTCATATTATTGGGAAAATATTACTTGTACAAATGCAAACTCATTTTAGTAGGGACATTAAGTAGGACAAACTCATCTGGGGTTTGATCTTGTGACCTTGAAGCATGTACAATGTGAATGACCCCTCCTCCCCCCCCCTAAATTTTTGTACAAAGTATGTCAAAAACCAGACTGGCCATGGCGACGACGAGCGTCCACAGGTTTTGACCAACCATGTGACTGTTTTCGATAAGAAGCCTAAAAACCTGGAAACAATGCTACCCAAGATGCTGCTTTGCCGGCCAGTTTCACCAAGGCTTACCCGAGTGATTTGAGTTTTTTTTTTATCCAGTCTCTGGCATTGCTACCGCCACTTTTTTGGTGGGGCTGTTGATGGCGTGCCACCGCCTCCGCCGCCCATCAGCGCTAAGACCAGGGTCGATATAATAAAGCCCAGAGCCATCAGAAAGCTGCCGATGGTAACCCCTTGTTCCCGGAATAACGTTTTAAGCCTTTCGGCCAATGTTGTGTCCTCGTGCAGGTCTCAGTCGATGGTATCGCGAATGCGCGTGATCTGGGATCCAAGAACTTCTCAGAAGGAGGACGCAGTTTCCAATCGGGTCTGTCTCTCGTCACTCAAGTTGCGCAATCGATCCTCGATCTGTCGTCGGCTGGACTCATCCTCCGCTTGGCGGAGTTTCGTTTTTTCACATGTGATGTACTCGTCAAGTGCGTCCAGTTTGGGCATGTTGTCCATGAGAGTGATCCGTGAATGGTTTGCATGGCTTTGTCTAGCCCTCGCAGTTCCCGAATGGTAATTTCAAAACCGGGTAAGGGTTTGTTCCGGTAGGTGGCCAATATATTTTCGATGTCTTTTGACGCTTCTTGAGCGCGTTGTGGCACGTCTCTCAAATCGTCTCAACCGACTTTACTTGCCAAAACATCGAGCTCAGTGTTTGCCTCTCGTAAAGCCTTGTCAAACTTCCCACTCATATTTTGTCAATAGCCGACTATATTTAATCGGTCGCGGATAAAGTGATTGCCATGGCGACTGGCCATCGTGGACAAGGCGAGAGGTTTTCTTGTACGGGAATGCATGATATCGACGTCTGGAGCATCTTTCAGCAGCAGTACCCTTAATGATCGATTTCGAACCTGTCATAATCGCTATAAACAGGAGCAATATTTTCTTTTTGCCTTATGGTATCGTAATAATCATTTACGGTCGTTTTTAACAGGCTATCGCCTTAGTCATTGTCAACCTCATCAACATCATCGAGCAATGAGGTTCTCTCACGCCCTAAATCGTCCATGGGAATATCTTCACCACCTTCGGGCATTATTTTTTATTTATTAAAGATATATTATTATACTTTTATAATATATATAATGTTGCATTATGGATGAAAGCTATATCCGTGACCATTACCAACAATCCAAGCACGATCGACGAGAACCAAACCCTGCTGGTGCGCTTTCCTAATATGGGTGAGAACGACATTATCGTTCTGGTGACGGCTCGCCCGCTTTCCAGATCAGTTTGGAATTCAGTGAAGCTAAACGAGAATTCGTGGAGAACATGGTTTGCGCCATCGTGAAAAAAACGACCATTAAAATCAGTCGCAACGAAATCCTCAGCATCGACGACAGCGATGTGTTTTTCAGTTACATGGACATCTGGAGAACCGTGAGCGAACAGGAAAATATGGAGTACCAGGGAGTTTGTCCTGCCGAGTTTTATAATAATAATAATTTGTCCATTTGTTGTGTGCTAAATCCACACCGACAGCATGCTCATAGCGCAGACAAGATAGAATTTAGGAGTCACTTGTAAAACAAAGAGAAAAGGTATGTCTTTAGGTTTGCTTTGAAACATGTGACTTTTGGGCTTGTTCTAAGGTGAGCTATAAACAGGAGCGATATTTTCTTTTTGCCTTATGGTATTGTATCGAGTGTCCATCGACTCATAGGGTATGCTTTTGAAC